ATTATGTAATATTGAAGTAAATTCATTTACTGTTATAATATAACATAACACGTTTACTTTGTTTGAATATTATACAAAAATATGTTAACGTTCCGTAATTATTTACAATATCTGCGATACAAATTTCTCAATCTTATATAACATCACATTAGATACTACATTAGATACTATAACATCACACAATAATAGAATCGTTTAATATATTAAGGTGGATTGGCGGCCTGTGCAAATGTGCGGGAAGTCGATGGATGCAGGTAGCTCAGGATCGTGCAGTCTTTGGGGGAGGCTATGTTCAGCAGTGGACTAAACAGGCTATATAAATACGGTAAGTAACTAACATGCATTCACTATCTTAATTTTATCTTTGTCACTTGTATCATAACAGTTTATCAGATGTGGTACTAGAAACTTAAGAGTTACTTGACCTTTTTTTAAGGCACATTAAATGATCAGAACGTCAAAAGCAAGATACTGATATCGTTGCAGCAACAAAAAATGCAACACCGTAGGGTTGCAGATGCGTTGCCACCTTTTAATATAGTGGGCCCCGGCTACCTCACTCGCCAGACGAAACGCAGACGTATACCACTTCTACTTTATGCCGGTCTTCCTGCGAGGTTGTGGTTGTGCGAAGACTGTTGTGTGTTGTTAGTTTTCTGTTTCTGAATTTGATTTTGTTTTTCTCGTTTCTGATATTTTTTTAATAAGTATTTTTAATCGTCAACTTTAAGTTAAGCGTAGTAGACCTTGAGAACTGTTCTTTTTCGTTGATTTTATAATTTTATCGGTACCTACCATATTTGTAAAACATGTATGTACGTCAATGACAGTATGTACAACACTTACCTGGTTTTACATAATTATTAGAACATCATATAACGTTAATAAAGAGGCCTTGAAAGCTTAATGTCCGGTCGCTCGCTTTTAATTCAATAAAAATAAATACTCAACTACTAGAGCAACCTGGGTTCGATCCCCGATGCCAGCACCAATAAAATTGTTAATTTTAAGTGCTGAATTATCACGTGCTCAGCGGTGAAGGAAAACATCGTGACCTGCATATTTTTGAAATAATAACAAAAAATATTTCAAAGATATGCGAAGTCCCCCAATCCACAGTGGGGCCGCGTGGAATGCCCTAATACCCTCGGTACAGAAGAGGCCTTTGCCCAGCTGTGGGACATTTATATAGGCCGTTACTTTTCTATAATGTTATAACACTTAATTTTTAATATGTACACTGTTGCTATGTCTAAAAATAAATAAAATGATGGCACCTTCAAGTAAATATTCCGTTCAAGTGAACTATCTGCTCGGCAGTAACAATTTCTTTTAGTGTATTACCTTTATCGGTATATTTACACGAGATAGGGACTGGTCTCGGAACTGTCGGAGTGAGAACAAATAAAAGTCTATAGTACTTGATGAAGTTTTACCCCAAAAATACTTTTACTTTTGATGTAATCGGATGCGTTACGCCCAAGCTAGCGAAGGTTTCTGTGTTATTAAAATACTGAAATTAAGAGAATACTCCGAAGCTTGCAAGAAATTAACTTGTCACGTTACAAATAAAGACCGTACTATGAAATCCTGTACGAAGAAGTATGAAATTTATTTAAACTTAAACAGTACCCGATCAAATGGCGGATTTGTCGGTATTTATACGCCTATTACTTTGAGAAAGTGAATTATTGATTATAAGGTTAGAAGCCCAAAATTTTGGCGCCATTTTAATACCGCCATTAGATTCAGTTGCTAGTTCAGATTCAAGTGAATTCAATTCAGAGTTTTATTTCTGTTAGGCCTTAACTAGTACTTCATAAACTTTCTTTCCATGCATAGATACTAAGACTTTTTAAGCATACTTTACTTGAAAAAGGCAAAAATTGCATATTTAAGAACGTGTACATACTTTTGATTTGCAACTTGTGCGTTAATGTCCCCTCAGTTCTAAAAATGAACTTAAATGTACAATGTACAATTTATCATATACGCCAAAACGAATTCAAATAATGTATTTCAATAAAAGAAATGAATCGTATTAATCGAACCAATGGTTTTCTAAGTACAACCGAACTAACGGACAACCAGACAAACGGGGGGATGTATTCTTTTATGTTTAAAATTCGCACACTGTCTCATTTATGTAAATAAAATCTGCCCGCAATAAATTAATTTCAATATACAATATACACATTTTTTAATTTTAATAGTTCTCTGTCAATAATTAAAAAAAAATTAATAGCACCGAAGAAACTGCATATATTAAATAAATGCAATGCATAACTTTATGTTCAATACTTGATTTTTTTTATTTATCACCGTCCGCAATAAGTTATCCTGTGCAGGTGATCTCGCCGAACAGATGTCGAATCAGCCAAATAAGGCTTTCGCTAAGTAGATTCGCCCATTTCTTTATTTCAATCATTTTGTTGTCGATATAACCTTCATGTAAATCTATAAATATTTTTTATTGGTTTAGCCAAATCTATAACTTTTTTTTGGCGCCAATAAAATATTTTTAGTCTGTTGTTATTAAAAAAAATTAAATTAATCCTTAAACGTGTGAGAAATTAAACGACTTATATAACAATTAAATATTTTCATTTTTCAAAGAATGAAATGCGTCTGAAATATTAAACTTATTTTTAAGTTTGTCGTAACAATATTCAATTTATTAATTATTGTTGGACATAAAAAAAAAGAAGTAAAGTAACAGCCTATACATGTCCCACCGCTGGGCAAATGCCTCCTCTATACAGAGGGTATTCACATGTAATCTTGACATGAATATCTTTATGGCATCTAAAAACATGTATTATAATGTTATTTATACATAAATAACGCAGATCCATAAGCGTTGGTTTAACAATTAACGCACAAGGATGTTTTTTTTTTGGATTTTATGGCTCGGTATCAAGGGCCTTTAGGCCTGCACAAGGATGTGGACTTTTCCTAAATTTTTCAGAAATAAGTTTCAGTCTATTATTCAATGATTAAATGATGTAATTCTTGTTACTAAACTTTAAAGTTGCTACCCTAAATGGGTAAATGAAAAAAAAAAATGTACATGATTGTTCACATGGCAATAATTATAAATTATAAAAGGGGGAACATCGATTAAAGTGCGGGGACGTGGATTATGTTAATAATTATGTTGTCAATTAGAAGGAATGCTCGTCAGTTTTGCACTGGGAGTACAAACTTGCAAACAGCAAACTGCTATATTAAGTACACCATGTTTATTTACTTTTATATCTTGTTTTTCAGAGTAAATTAACATAGGCTTTATTAAATAATTTTTTTTATAGTTCTAATCTTTGCACTTAGGATTAAACATTAAAATTTGTAGACAAAGTACGAAAAGATTGTCGCCGCTGTGGGAATCGAAGTGCCGAAGACGGGGGTTAGATTCCCACAGCAGCAACAATCTTTTTGTACTTTTTCCACAAATTTTATTAGGTTTTATTATTGGAAACACGAAGAATGTAAGAATAACATTTGGCGGTCGAAAAAAGAAATTGCCATTCAAAAATAGAGATTTTTAACTTTAATGAACTTAACAAGATACGATTTCAGCAGTATTCATAAATCACGCCTTGTACCCATGGAGAGATAATACGGGCAAATGGAAAGATGGTGACGTACTTTTGCATTAGTTACATCAATAATCTGCCTGCAGTGTTTAAAACTTTGGATGTGTGGACTGACCGATGTCATTGCTCTCTTTGGAATTTAAGTCATATTTCAAGTGCATTTGGAAATTTTTTTGAAAATAATTTAATGAGATTTTCTTTAATATCAATCATTTACTTCAAATACCATAGTTTTTACTGTTCTTGAAAACTAAAAAAAAACCTATAGAGTTTTTTTTTAATTCATTAGTTTGCATTGGTATAAAGTAAAAATAACTAAAATGATTATTTCTGAATTGTCACTCTGAGGCAAACTGTTCCACTTTCAACTTCGTTTTCCAATTTGTAAACGTTTTGAATAAGTAAACATTTAATTGATAATACTGGCCAGCATAAAAATGAATGAAACAAAGCTTGTTCTAATGTTAATACGGCTTTATCATGTTCCTTGAAACAGTTTATTACAAAGAGGCTCGAGCTTATTAAATATGCTTGGAGGGATTTTGTGGCCTTCTGTAGAATCATTGATCTGTGGAAAACGGAGCAGGCGCAGGCAGGTAGGAGCGGTTGGCTCGGGATGGACGGTTTGAATTGAATGTCGAATATCCCGGGGTTGCAAATGAAAAAAAATCTTAAATGATTCTTAAAAAGAATCCTTTATTTTACTTTTCTTCATACTTACAGGTTTTTACTAATTCTTGAACATTAGAATAAGGCAATAAATGTCATTAAATGTTAAATTTTAATCATGTTAAATTTTAAGGATCCTGTCAACGCTAACGACTATTAATTTAATTACAATTTCATATACAGATTTAGAAGAAACTCTAAGTGCAGACTACAGTCTCTCGTGTTTTGTTAAGCAATTTGTAAAAAACGAGCAAACTACATCAAAACGACGATATCAAGATTTTGTTAAATGTTATTTAAATTTAAATCATTTGTTAAATACAACTAAAAAGACGGTGTTGATCTATCGATAAAACATATTTCGCTTGCTGAATAACAGGTTCCGATAGTAATAATTTTCATATTCATTCAGAGCTGACCAATAAAGTACCGGGCCTGTCACGAAAAGCTCGGGCGATTAGCAAAGTACGTCATCGCCGCAACCGTCACGTCCCACAGTGCGTGTCATGTCAAGGCTCACAACTTCGTGCGACACATAAACGCCGGCTCTCCTTAATAATGGGGAAATTTGTGAGCTGCCAACACTGTCGGGAAGTTTAGGAACCACTTCCCAGAACGATAAAGGGCCGGCGGTGATGGCGGGTGGGGCTGCGGGAGGGGGAGGGGGAGCGACAGCTGCGCTCGCGTCGCTCTCCCCGCGCCGCAGCACTCAGGCGCCGACCGCCGTCCGGGTTAGACGCGCCAGTTGACGGTCCGCGGCAGCGACGCACTCGCCGCGCGCGAGTTTAACACCAAGTTCACAAGACGCTGGAAGATACGCGGCGCAGGAGCGGCGAGCCGGCGTCCTTTGTCCGTCCCGTGTGGGTGGGCGGTGACTGGCGCTATATTCGGTTCGTGAGCGATATTGCACCAGTCCCGGCCTATCCAAGCGGGTCTCGGCCTTCGGAGACCGCTACTCAGCATCCGCGGCGCGCGGTCCCGTTACCGGGCGGTCGTTCACAGCGATGGCCACGCATAGGACGTGATTCGGTGTAAACGTTGTGCTCGCTACCACATTGCACCAATCCCGGCCTGCATGCGGCCGTCGCTTTCGTGGCCGTGGTGTTGGTTTCCAACAGGTTTGGCCCGACCGTTGCACGTGGCGTATCCGCGCGGCCGATCTCCCAGTCTGCGCCCGCAGCCCGTCGATTCGCCGCTCCACGATTCGTGAGTTTCACAACTGCCCTGCACCGGTCCCCTTTGTTTTCAAACGCCCGCACGCACCCGTTTGTTAACAGTAAACGTGAGTCCAAAGTAGAAAGTCGACCGCCGAGGCGAGATGTGAATCATTTTGTGCGAAGCATTCTTCTGGTTCGGGGTGACTGAATCGACGTAGACATGGCCAGCGTGCAGGCAGACCGGTTTCGATCGTAAATCGTAACATACACCTCTATAACAATTCATACGTTACAACTATTATTAACAGATCGCCAAAACGAAGGACATTAACGGAGAACGCTTACGGAAATAGGCGCGATGTCGATTTGCATGCTTTTAACGTATCAGCTGATTTCCTTTGTCCGCCGCCCGTGGGTTTTTTAATCTATTCGTTACCCAGAAGTTGACATTGTTCCCTTATAACGCGCGTTTAACATAACCCGATGCCATGCAATATTCATTGAGCATTTATATCTCGAACTTCGCATCCGAGACGTTTTGCTGCGTCGCTATCGCATTAAGTACTACGGCGCATGCATGTATGTACGAAGGATAGTGAATCAAGCGGAAAGATGATTCACCGGGCAAGTTAAGAAGTCGTGCAACCGTTATGATTTAAATTACAACAGCTGTCATGGGGCATTCACGAATTGCGGTACCAACGTACGTACCTATCGCGTCGGAGATTATAATGTGTGGCGCCAAAACGGGATTGCATGTAACACTTCGAACTCTTGAGCTCGACGCGACGGTAGTCGTAAGTTGCGTTTATGTTACCCAAACCGATTTTATAGTTTTTAAACTGTATTTATATATTGTTACATTTGTTGGTTTCCGTGGATACGATTGTTTCGAGGTCGGTTATAAAACTATACTGGTTGGGCTTTACAACTTCGTGTCTAATTTTTATTCGGTAAACAAAAGCGGTTACCTATCAATATTCTATCCTCGATTCGGAGGCATTACAAGTTGTCACAGTTTGTTAAGAAAACTTCGATTTTAAAATAAATATATGCAAGTGCAAAACGAGCGTTGTTAAATTTTTACTATCCCTAAACTTTTCAATACAGTTGATATAAGCTATGATTATATTTAGTTAACTTCATATTTAACATAATTTAACTTGCCTCTGAATGTCTACGGATTAAGTTTAGATACTTGCGAAATATTCGATACTACTTTTCATGTGCATTCAAAAATCGCTACAGCATTTTCATTTGGTTTTCGTGAGTGTTAACTTGGATACTCGTTCCACACGTCTTCCTCATGTTATACTAAATCAATGAAGAAGTTATACATACCTTGTGAAGTAGATTTGTTACAGATCTTACCCATTGAATTAGTCTAGCCGGTGGCAGTATTTCAATCTTCTTATATATAAAAATGGATTGCTGTTCGTTACGTCTCGCTAAAACTCGAGAACGGCTGGACCGATTTGGCTAATTTTGGTTTTGAAATATTTATGACAGTCCAGGGAAGATTTAAACGATGAGAAATTGTTTAAAATATAAATACTTAGCAACAATTTTATTTTCCCATACAAACTGTTCCTACCTGTCAAACATTTTATGGGTGCGTTCCGAAAATTCTGTGTTCATATTCACAAATTCCCTAGAAATAATTTATATGGCAAAACAACGTTTGCTGGGTCAGCTAGTCATTTATATAATATCGAAGCGAAAATGTTTCCACAAGGAAAAAAAAACCGGTCTGCAGAGCGAGGATCTGATTCAAATGCGTTAAATGAACGCGTTGCCGCGAACTTTGCACTTGGAAGCTGTCAACGGTGCGAAATTTTTTTAAGAATTCATTTATTACGAATACGCATTTAAACTGATGCGTGTAGTTCTATTTTTTTTAAATGATAGGGCGGTGAAAATCTCTTATGCACTCTGCCGGTGCGTCTCTGTTGACAGCTTTTTTTATCTGTATTTCAATAGTTATATTCGTGTATTGCTAGTTTTCAAAATAGTCTAGTTGAGGTGTATAATGTTAATATGTATTGATTTGAATATTTAAACTATTCATAATTAATGTACTAGTCTCAACCTCTAATCGCCTCATTAACGTCGAGTTTATATAATTCCTATTCATCAGAAACTTGTAGACTTGTAAGCGTTGAGCTCAATGTTATTTGGAATGCGCCGTGGTCTAAATTTTAGTAAACTTCTGTAATCAGTTGATTAAGTATTGTCACCGTTATGTGAATAATTTAGGTTAATTGTCAACTTAGTGACCACCACCTTTGAAGGTGCAATTAGCTAAAATTTAATTGCAGATTAGCAGTTTTTACTATCGGAAAAATTATTGCAAAACTTTTTCAAGGTTTAAAAAGCATGCGTACTTTTAATATTGGATTAAAAATTATTTTATAAAAAAATTAAAGTATCAGCCTATACATGTCCCCCTGGTGGGCAAAGGCCTCCTCTGTACAAAGGGTATCAGGGCATAGTCCACCACGCGGCCCCACTGCGGATTGGCGGACATCACATAATTATCTTCGAATCTTATTTTTTTTTCGAAAATATGCAATTCTCCTCACGATGACTTCCTTCACCGCTGAGCACGTGATAAATCAGCACTTAAAATTGACAGTTTCATTGGTGCCGGCACCGGGGATCGAACTCTGGTTGCTCGAGTATATTCAATTAAAGGCGAGCGCCCGGATATTGAGCTATCACGGCCCAGTTATTTTATCATCTGTCATTATTATTTTTCCTTAACTTAAACCTATGTAACAAAATTTTAAAGCTTTATTGTCAGATTCCTAGTTATGTAATACATTTGTGTAATGTATTACAACAAACCTAACCTATCAGTTTGAAATAAACAAATAAATATTGAACCTGATTTATATTATTTATGAATAATAGTTGCTGCAATTTTCGCAAATAGTCGACGGGATGATCCCAAGGTATCCAAAACTAAAGTAAAAAATATTAACATGGAATAATTTATAACTCTTATGAGACGTAATGTACTGTAATGATTTGCCGCCAGAACAATCATCATTTAATTTTTTCCTTTTAAACCTGTTGGAATTTTCCTTACAGCCGTTTCTTTTCTCCATACAGTCTCAATCTTTCGTTACAGTCAATTTTACTTACCTCCAATTTTTGTTCAACACGTTATGAATATTTCTGGTTAAAGTACCTATATATTTTTATATTTCGTTATGGATATTAACTCCCGTTAAAAATATTTGAAACAGCCTTCCGATGCCGCTTAAATGAACATTGATTGTTTAGCAGAGTATCACTACTACTGTTTCATGTTTTTTTTTTTATGTGAAAATTTGCCAAACGAGCAGACAGTTCACCTGATGTTAAGTGAGCCCATGGATATCTGCTACACCCGAGGGTTACAGATGCGTTGACAACCTTTTGAAAATTGGGCTCCGGCTACCTCACTCACCAGAAAATCGAAAGTATTCGAAATGCGAAAGTATTTGTCATACTTCCACTTTACGCTGGTCTTCTGTGAGGTCGTGGTACTTACCCGGACGGGCCTGTCCATTCCTGCAACAGCCGAGGCTGCTGAGAGCCCTACCACCGTAGAATGGTCGGTAACGGTTAAATAGACGAGGCTAATTTTGGAGTTTTCAAAACTTCAACCAGCGCCAAACTTACGCTTATGCCGTCTTCTTTCCAAGATTTACAAGTCGCTTAACGGACTTCCTGTTTATAGAGACATAACATTATCATCAAAGCGCATTTGTTTTGTTTTAAAAGTGAAACATTGCCGGTCCAGTGGTTCTGTGTCAAGGTCCCGCCTCCCCTACAGTGTAGCCTACATTTGCAGCTTTAATTTTATAACTTTAGGTGCCCGCGCGCGCGTCACTGAATTAATTATAAATGAGTTGTTGTAACGGTCTCTAAGGCGTTCCGCAAACGACGCGAGCGGTTTGACTTATTACGTGATAAGTAATACGTAAGTAATCAACCCGTATTGATTCTTAATCATGTTCGTATCGTTGGTACATACCAAACTTTAGTATAATATAAATGCATAATAATGCAAGATAAGTGTAAATGAAAAGTATTAGTGAATCGAGTACGTATGATATCGCCATTTTAGATTATCAAGTATCGATGGATTACATGAAAGTTTGTATGATTAATTATTGGAAGCTGTTTGCTTCATATTCAGCTCATTAATATTACTGTTTTATTGCCGATGTTGTCAAAATTGCCCGCGGGAAAAAAATATTGCAAATGGAATAAGATTTCGTAAATAAAGACAAACGGTTGTTATTAATCGATAAGTCGTATGAAATGATGAGAAAACCATTTTGTAGGGAATTTAAATATTCTTTTACAGTTCATTAATGGAAATTACACAATAAAAATATGCAAAATAAAATTTTGGCAAATTGACAATTCGACGAGTTTCTTTTTTAATTAATCTAATGTACTAATGCATGCAAATTTAATTATTTATAAATGACTATTATTTTTCCGATGTGGCTAAATCCGCCGCCGACAATTTTTAAAATGCGAACTCAGTCCCGTTATCCTATATTTAGTTGTTAATATTTATGACTGTAATATTTTTTGAAATTTATTGATTTAATTTGATTAAGTTTCATAAAATTAAGAGATGCAATTATAATTTCCAGATTGTTAATTGATGGCAGCCGTGTGTAACTTACTTTATTGTTGAAACTAAGTTGAACACGGGGAGTGAGATTGAGTGAGATAGCGCTATTACTGTTCGTGGGCATTAGAGCGGGAGTGCATTGCTTGCTTTTTAGGATATAACGAGGC